AACCCGTTCCTCATAGTTTGCCCGCGAGCAGCGGAGGCTACGCCCCTGGTTTGGGCTTCGTCGAAGGAGGGAAAAGACTGCAGGCCCAGGGCCATCCGCTCAAGAGTTTCACGGTGCCGGCACCGCCCCCCATATCCGCTCCGGGCACTCCCCAATCCAAGCACATAGGTAAGTGTTTTTAATTTTTCGTTTTGCGTGGAAGCGTAAGGTCAAATTCAGTTACAGTTCGGCCCAACACGTCTCCGTACAAAAGGGGGCAGGCGGGCAGCCCGAGCTTGATGAGCACGCCCCCATCGCGAATCAGTGCCTCGAATCCGCCCCCTCACACTTCCGAGGAGATCCAGAGACTGCAGCCGTCCCATTCGACCGAGGAACTCAATCAAGAGATGGCGAACCTCGAAGGACTCATGCTAACCCTGAATGCTATCACTTCCAACGAGTTTGAATGTTGAGTGGATGCCTTTCGGCCTAAATAATGCGCCTTCTGCTTGGCAAAGGGCGCCGGTTTCAAGGTTATGGTTATTTCTGACTTTTGACAGAATGCAGTGGGGTTTTAACGTACTAATTAGAGCTAATCAAAGGTATGCTCGAGGGTGGAGAAAATGAGACGTTTGAGAGTTTTTTCGTGCTTTCATCAAAGCAGGTTTCTTTGTGAAATGTATTCGGAAATCTATGTCAAGAAAACTATGTTTTTACTCTCTGTTACAACTAAAAAGAGAAATTGAAAAATTTCAGAGTGATTTGACCCATAGTAGGTCTCTCAAAGTAACTCGTGATGGGTGAAGCTATGGGGGAAAAAATATCTTTGAGCTAAAAAAAATATCCGTGCTCGTAATTTGTCGGCATAAAAATGTTGGTTTACTTTTTTTGAGGACCTCAGCATACTAATTTCAGATATTCTGTATGTGGCATAGATTTCCGAATTCGAGTATCCATTTATTCAAATGGAATTTCAAGACTGAATTTGATTGTTGATTTTTTTTTGTTTTTAAAAAGTGAGCCAATATTGGTGTCTTGTACAACTCAAATACTCAAAGCACGGTAAGAGATTGACGAAATCATTCAAAATTGAACTCAAAATATATTTTGGTTGATTCCCGGGTTTTACCGTGGTCTTCTTTGGTTGTAATCTCCACGTTTCAACTGCAACAGTCATTTTCAGTGGCTTGGTCGAAGTACTCTTCTTGACTTCTCAACTGAAACAGTTGACACGTCATCTGAAACAGTTGACACATCATCTGAAACAGCTGATACGTCATCTGAAACAGTTGACACGTCAACTGAAACAGTTGACACGTCCACTGAAACAGTTGATACAACTGAAACATATGACACGTCAACTGAAACAGATGACACGTCAAGTGAAACAGGTGACACGTCATCTGAAACAGTTGACACATCATCTGAAACAGTTGATACGTCATCTGAAACAGTTGACACGTCCACTGAAACAGTTGATACAACTGAAACATATGACACGTCAACTGAAACAGATGACACGTCAAGTGAAACAGGTGACACGTCATCTGAAACAGTTGACACATCATCTGAAACAGTTGATACGTCATCTGAAACAGTTGACACGTCCACTGAAACAGTTGATACAACTGAAACATATGACACGTCAACTGAAACAGATGACACGTCAAGTGAAACAGTTGACACGTCTACTGTAACAGTTGATATGACAACTGAAACATATGGCATGTCAACTAAAACATATGACACGTCAACTGAAACATATTACACGTCAACTGAAACAGTTGACACGGCATCTGAAACAGTTGATACGTCATCTGAAACAGTTGATACGTCATCTGTTTCAGCTGTCAACTCAAACAGTTGACAGGTCAAGAAGAGTACCTCGACCAAGCCACTGAAGATGACTGTCGCGGTCGCAGTTGAAATATTTCGAGGTTAAAACCAAAGAAGACCACGGCAAAACCCGGAAACCAACCAAAACATTGACGCCAACCGTGAAAGCCTACATTCAAAATATATTTTGATGGTGCTCAACTTTAACACTGTTCCAGAATGTACACAATGGGAGGCAAAGATGCATTCGGCACAATAAATGCACTGCCTCACTGCCTAAACATTAAGAAGCCTTCGTAAAAAATATTTCCAATTTACAATGGCTCCATTTGAAAAAATGTTCATAGTATTCAATTTGAGGGTCACTCCCGAGTAACAAGATTCGAATTTCTAATTGTACTTTTTTCTCTGCGTGTCTTTTAATTCAACGACAGCTATCATTTCGGATATAGTGATATTTTTTAAGTATACATTTGTATGAATGCGTTTCGGTTCATAGAAACATGTACAGGGCGGTCAAAAGAATCGAGACTTTGAGGGATCGAAAGAAGGGCCTAAACGAAAAAGATTCTCTCGACCGTCTTTAAAAGTAATCTTGCCAATGGGGGAAATTTTTAATGTACTTTATAATGATTCACGTCATAAGCCGCCATACTTTTCCAGTCCACTTTATTTTTGGTGATATTATTTTAAATAATGCTTATCCATCTAATATGAACGGGAGATGAAAATTAGTTTTTATTCGAATTTTCTAGAAGAGAGCGTTTTTGGTACTAGTCTAACGGAATAAAACAGACAAAAACTAGTCTTGAGTCGCGTGTTTTGTTGTGAATTGTTTTCTATCGATTCCACTACACGAACAGCAATTAAACTGCTGCGCTCTTCAACTGTCCATTGCTTTTTTAGGCTCATGTTCTACAAAGGAAAATTTAATCACATTCTTGTCACATATCGACGCAAAAATTCCGGTTTTTCATGTTTAAACATGGCAAACACAGCTCAGAATCATCAAGACATTATTGTTTTTGGTCAACAGTGAGTTCACGCGGCACCCACTTTGAACACAGCTTTCTCATAGTCAAATGCCCTTGCAATATAAAGCTAACACGTTATTTTGATATCTTTACAATGTCAGCTGACTCACCCAACTTCCCTCTTCGAACATTCAAAACGATTTTGTGGATTTTTTATGTTTTCTGCCATTGTTTCACTCGATCGGAATTTAATAAGACTAACGCCATCTATGTGTTCGGCCCGATACTTTTTAGCCCCGAAACTTTCATATTTCGTTGTTGGCAAAAATAATCACCCTCGACGCAAAGTCTTCAAAATGTATCTTATTTTGACAACTCAAGTTTTTGTTTTGTCGAAATCGACACAGTTGCTGTTTTGTTGTTGTATCCGGTTGATGGAAATTCGCCAGAAGATTTATTTTAGCCCTTCATTGCTTTTTGATTGTCCTTATGGAATGCTGAAGGCGTTCATTTGTTCTGAAGGAAGTTTTTAAAAGCTCTTTTTAAAGTTTGAAATACCAAGTCAGATTGGTATGATCTTTCCTCTTTTTTTTTCTTCGGTGTCATCGACATCGGCCGCTATGGTCATCAGCCCAGGAATTATTGAATCGAAGAAGGAATATTTTTGGGGGGGATCAGTTTTTTTATGCTTCGGGAGGTAGACGATGTCCAATCCAATATCCGTCGGGGCACTAGTCGGTTCAGGACTTGATATGTTTATTCCTGGATCTTTTTTTAATTGAATCCTGCGATGGATGGAGAAATCAACCCGGACAATATTTATTTATATATATCTAATTTATTAAAATGTTGGCACAATGTATTGTTGTTCAATATTTAGGTTATAACTCGGCTGTATATATCAATCAATGTAAATAGATCACTTTGGAGCAACGGCGACTGTTTCGTACTATCGTATCTCGTGTTCACTGCTTGTAAACGAGGTGAACCGTCCTTGTGGTGCGAAACACTGAGGCCGCTAAGAATGCTTCGACAAACTGACTCACAGTATTCTAACGACTAAGTTGAACTTGTACATATTATTTTGTGTTGGTATTTTCTGGATAGTCTCTATTTATTTGAGGAGTACTTTTTTTACATGTGATGTGTGAGATGTGGTACCACAGAAGGCAGAAAACTTGCCTTAAAAGATATGTTACGCGTATATTCTAAGAGACAATTTTTTACTGGATGTAGTAATTTCTAGGTGTCGCTGAAATAAAGACTACTGAATGATGACGTGGGGTTTTATTCGCAGCGTAAAGTGTGCTTGGTGCAGTTTCCATTTGTTCTCTTTGAAAATGAATATTTCAAAAGGAAATCTAGAAATATTTATCTCTCCAAACTACCCACACCGTCTGTTGTGGTAAATGCCTGTCGGAAAACAACTACTTCCCCGGCTGATACCACGCTAGATATTGAATTTATGCAAGACACAGAAGTTGAGGTTAGACTAACAGATGTTTTTCCTTCATCCGTACTTACGTGGCTGTTGAATTGAATGAAATAAAAAAAAATGCAGTTCATTATTGAATATAATGGGAATAAAAATAGTACATTTTTTATTACAAAGATTATTCTCCTAGCTGAAACATTTGCCTTGAGTTCACATATGCTGAAAAAACAGAGCAAATCGTCTCAAAAAATATGAAAATTAAAAAAATTAAAATATGGAAAACATTTTTTTAATTTTCCCATAAACACAACTAGGTAGCAGTTCTTTGTTATGGAGACGAGAGTTGACTAATATCACAAGATTAGCCTAGTCACACAAATATGTGAATAGTTTCTGATACGAATTGAAAAAAAAACATTCTTGTTGAAATGTGGAGAAAACTGCAAAATACACTCGTCAATCTAACTGCAACATGATCAAAATTAATAATGATGCTCTGTTAAGGCATCAACAAATTTGAGAAACTGGTACATCTGCCTACTCCCAAGTATCAAATTATATATATGATAATCGGAAGTTCTAATTTTTCACAGAGGGGGCCTGTCAGTTGTCAAAATTTAAGTATCCTGTACCTTTCTCAGATCGTTTTTATCGATAGTGTTGATCAAGAGAGAAGTTCCAAGAAAATGATTAGGAATCCATCATGTAGTTGTAGTTTCTTGGACTGCACGTTACCAAAAATAATTTATTACACATATTCATCGGTTTCTCATGTCTATAATAATCGCACAAAAAAAATATTACAATGTAACAAATCAAAACAATAAAATGTTTTTTTTCTGAATATTTGGGCCATTACCTGATGAAGATCCATAGTAATTTCATAAACTACACCTCACTATTTGATGTTAACAAATAGTTTGTGGAGATGAAATCATGAGATGTAGTTTCTAAAACAATAAAATGTACCTTATATTTCACATACATTTTTGAGTCTCATTTGCTTTTTTTAATGTATTAATTACCCAATCAATATTCTAAACATTCAGTTGGGGTAACGGCGTGACAGGGTTTTATTTTTCAATGTTGAGAGTCATGAATCCCATCATAACTGTCAAAAGTCGTTGGTCAAAATAATTGAGGATATTTGAACCTGTTCACTGATTAAAACTTCTAGATCGAAATTAAAAACCCAGCTACCACTCCTCATCGAACAAAAAGTATATGTGGCGCCATCTAATGGAGAAAAATATAGTTAGAATTGACCCAAATTCAATGATGCCAACAATGAAATATAAAGTCTATACTTTCAATTATGACGTGACAAACAGTAGTAACTAGAAAAAATGTGTGCTCCAAATGAGATCCGATTTACTCTATTTACAGAAAAAACTAAATATTGATATAGTGCTTTGTAGAAAAATTTACTTCGGTGTTTCAAACTATATGCTTTTCACTCTTTCAGTTTCCAATTGTGGTGTAAACTCAACAAAAACAAACTACCTGTCTTTATCTGTGACTAGGTTTCACAAATTCAGAACTCTTGACCAACCCTAACATAACTTCTCATTCAGACATAGGCTCCGGACTGTTGGTATTGACATCATCCAGCGAAGTGTTCATTTCAGTCTCTCCTTTAGCTTCGTCCTCGTCCAAAAGCGCCTGAAGCTGGTTGGCCGAAGTCGACAAAACGTGGAACTGCTTCTTGCGGTTGTCCAACTTCTGCACGAGCCGCCTCTTCTCTTCGCCCAACTCCTTGAGCTGCTTCTGCAGCTGCACAAGCTGATTGTTCATCTCCTTTCTAGGGGGCTCAGCCGCGATGTCCCTGGCCAGCAGGTCATACTGGATCCTGTTCTGCTTGATCGTCTTGGCTTTCTCCAGCTCCAGCCGCTGTGCCGTTATTTCCTCTTTGATATCTGCTATTTTCTTTTCGTACTCTGCATGCAAATTCTGGTACTTGATGAGTTGTTCGTCGTTCGATTTGGTGACGAGCTCGGACCGCCTTCGGGAGTGCTCTATTATGCTCAGCTGTACCAGGATTTTGTCATACGTTTGCTTGTTTTCCTCGGGACTTTCATCTGTAGTGTTCACCCACTTGGCGATCATTTTCAACAGGAGGTTGAAACGCCTGTCGTCTCCCGTACCGTCACCGTCGAAGATGAGGCGTCTCTTGATTACTTCCTCTGAAAAATATTAAATAAAAAGGGTTATTTGGGGAAATTTTATCGTAACACACGAGATGTGTTGACCGTCTCAAGAATCCGGTATGTTTAGAACTTACCGTCAGTCATTTGTTCAGATATATTAATTTAACATTAAGTAGTAAAGCCAAAAATATTACTTCATAAACAATATATAACCTTAACAGTTCGTCTTCTTTATTATACCAATGGTTAGTGGCATTAACTGTCAAGACAATCCGGCCTTGTGACTGAGAATTATGGTAATCGAAAGGTTTGTCCAGTTTCTATTCTCTCAATTTGATAGTTTTCATGTGTTTTGAACAAGAAAACAAATTCACAAAGTGTATTAAATACTTTTTGTTCATCTTTAAGATCATTTCATAATATCAGACAGATAAATAAATTTACACATATAACAATATAGACAAAGATTCATCGGTATGCTCTTTTTTTAAAATATGAAGCCGACCGAGCAGATGCACATTTAATATCACGTAATCTTAGGTTCATCGGAGCAAAATACAGTTGACGAACGAGAGTCCAAAATGTCATCGTACCTGAAAGTTGACCTTTTTTTCAACTTGACAAATGACTATTGAGAAATCTGGTTGATTCAAATAAGTTAACCGATCACATTTTTTTCTCGCTTTAGTAAATACCGAACACAAAGCAAAAGTAACAAATTTGTAATATTAAACGTTTGCCGAGCTAATCGAATGTTCAGATATGTAATTAACTATTGAACGAATACATTAAATAAGTTAGTAAGGAGTGAGGCAAATGTTGTAATGTTACAAACCTGAATTTTCCGATATCCCAATTGGAACTTGCAGACAGAAATTTACAGAACCACATAGATAAATCAAAAAATTCTGATATTCAAATCAATTCACGTTTGATGCAACATTTTTGCTGTGAGATTTTCAGGGTGATATTTTGGTTCGTGGAAAGTATGAACTATAACATGAATTTTATTGTTCTGCATTATACCAAGGTTATGTGTATAGAAAAGGTCCGACAATGTTGATGTCATGGAAACAAGTTGTGTTTTTTTTTAAGGTTATGTTCATGTTGACAGACTACAACAAATGATATTTTGAAATTAAAACATGGAAAATGCGATAGGAAACGAAAAATACTCTAGTGATAGCGATATAATTACCGAAACACCACCGAAATTGTACAAAATAAAAACCCTTGAACGAATTGACCTAATTTAATAACAAATAAGTCAACGAATGTATCATCAGTTCAAGACTATTATCCTGAAGCTACCTACTCGTGATTATGATCAGATATTATGAGAAAATTCAAATCAATTCACGTTTGATAAAACATTTTTGCTGTGAGATTTTCAAGGCGATATTTTGGGTCATGGAAAGTTTGAAATATAACATGAATTCTGCATTATACCAAGGTTATGGGTATAGAAAAGGTCCGACAATGGTGATGTCATGGAAACAAGATGTGTTTTTAATTTAAGGTTATGTTCATGTTGACAGATTACAACAAATGCTATTTTGAAATTAAAACATGGAAAATGCGATAGGAAACGAAAAATACTCTAGTGATAGCGATATAATTACCGAAACACCACCGAAATTGTACAAAAAGAGAACAAAGAAACTTTCCAAACCTAGAACAGGAAAAAAATGCAGCCATCATTATGAAGACTATTTAGGAAACGAAAAATGTGTTCCCGATGAAAACTGTTCCATAGAAAAAACACGAGTAGGTTCGGTGGATCTGAATAAACCGTACGTGTACCGAACAATAGATGAAATCCTCGAATTTAGCGAAAATTACTCACCAAAGAACAACAACATGCATCTCGTAGGGGTACACAAGTTCAGCCATCAATTCGGCAACTACCTGACGAATAGAGTAGTTGATGGCGCGGAAAGTAGTTTCATTCAACTAGATTTCAAGTTTGTTGCAAACATACCAGATGAAAATACGTTCGTTTCTGTATATGGCTCGCTAGAAAGTGACCTACGATGCCGCAGGAATATGATCTTCGTTGTTCGGTTTTATAGGGAAGAGGCTGAAGGAATGATCAACAGGTACAAGGAAAGCCTGAAATTTCTGAGGAATTATATACCAACTCAGTATCTGACGACAATATCTTTGAAACGGTGATAATGTTCTGTGTAAAAAGCTGTGATTTTTTGACAATGACTTTTTTACCTGTGTAATTTTTCTGCGCTATATGTTATTGGATGTTCATTTTCATTGCCTTTCAGAACAAAAACCCACCAAATTGAATGTTTTTTCACTTCATTTGAGTTCAGTATTACTGGAAACTTATGGTACCTTAGTCTGCAAATGTGTGTTTTCTATAGATTTTTAGATATAACTCATGACTACTGGAAATGTAATGGTTCCAAGACTGACCCTTGAGGTACCCCTAGCATCTGAAGCTGTTTTATTGAGTTACTGTCATGATTTACTTCGTTTAATAAAGAACATTGTCTGCTTTTCAAAATGAACACTTTCAGAAAGTCAAGTTGATTTAATAACACATCTACCTTTGTATAAATTGATTGATGTAGCCGTTACTACGTGGTAGGAAATCATAATGAAGAAAAGAGAAATGAAACTCTGTTTTTACCACTTTTATTTGTAACGAACGTTACTGCAGTTTCGTCTTATACGGACATTTTCAAACTTGTACAATAAACTAGTTTATATAAGTTTGAGAACTAGTTTATTTCATAAGTTTGAAAATGTACGTATAGAACGAAACTGCAGTAACATTAGTTACAAATAAAAGTGGTGAAAAACGATTTTGTGTTGATGGTATTCCCATAAAAAAAAATTTAATCTTGGTAAAAGTACTACTGAATTTGTTACACCTCAGAGGTAATTTCTTTCGAAAAAGATTAACCAGTTTAGAGAATTGGAATTGCTTTATTACTGGAGAATATTACTCTCTCAGCGATTTGGTTTTTATCTCCACAATCGTTGCAAAACTCGTTTCATTTCCTTTGAATCTTTAAAAGATAAGGCCAATACAATGTCCAAGGCATCAGACTGGTTCACTTCAGAATGGCTGAATCTAAATGGTAGCAAAACTGAATCAATGTATTTCTCCACCTATCAGCATGATAAATATATATAAAAATCCAGAATCAGTAAAGTTTTTGGGAGTATACCTGGACCCCAAACTGAAGTTTGACTGTCATATGAATTATATAGCCAGTTAAGTTAAAAGCATTTACCTTCTAAAAAAATTTAGATCAGTAATGGACCAGAAAGTTTGTGTGATGACTCCTAGCTCTCATGATACGTGGGGTATCACGCCGATATCAGACAAAAATTTATTGATCTCAAAATCATGACCATTCCATCAAGGTACATGCACGAATGCATTGTCTATATGCGTGAAAATATTAGTCAATACAAAACTCAAAGCAATGTACATAATCATCACAAAAGAAAAAGAGACAATATAAGAATGAATAATCTTGGAATATGTAAGTCTAGAAATGCTTCACTTTATTATGCGCTCCAAAATTCTACAACTAACTACCCTGCCAGATCAGGAGTGTTAAAACAATTAAACTGAGGATTATATTGAAAGATCTTTCAACAAAGCCTTCTACAGCTATCGATGAATTCTTCAACAGTAGATTTGAAATGAAATGTAATCTTTAGAATGTTGTATTTAATGTTTTTGTCTCCGAGAAAATGAAATGAAAACTTTGAAATGTTGATATTGTGAAACCGTACCTACTTCGATATATTTTATATCGTTGAAAAGACAAATAAAGCTATTATTATTATAATATTTCATAAGTTATATTTCTGTAACTGTGTTGTATCGACCTGTGTAAAAACTTAATGTTTATTTCAACACCAATAAAATATTCCATTATATTCATGGGTCTCTTCAATCTAGGGAACAGGAAACCAAATCTGGTGAATACAGTGGCTGAGGCATGGCTACTGTGCTGATTTTGACAAAAAAATTATGAACAAGCAATGAAGAGTGAGCAGGTGCATTATCACGATGCAAAAACATCTTCAAATCACTGTTGAAGAAGCTACTGTGTTAGTGAAACATGTCGTGATATATATTTCAAATAAAGTTTGTGGAGATCAATTTGTGAGATTTAGTTTATGAAATTACTATGGACCTTCATCAAGTAACGGTCGAATCAATCAGAAAATTTAATAAAATGATTGAAAATGAAATGTAAAGGTCGTGCTAGAACATAGCTAAAGTGCTTTAATAATGATGGAGGAATACCATCTGGACCAGAACCTCTAGAAGCATTCAAACTAAGAGATTAAATATCTCTTAGATTTCAGAAATTGAAAAGCACAGATTAGAAACAGACAAGAGGTTCATAATCCGGACAGGTTGTCACTAAAGTTATCTTGGAACATTTCGGCAAGTTTATTCTCCATCATAATAGATCACATCTGGTAAAATATTTCGCTTTCTCTCGGAGGTAACAAAATTCCAGAATGCCTTAATATTATCACTGCCAACAATTTGACTTTTTTTTTCTGTAAACTCAAGATATTGAAAAAAAACTCGTCATGTACAAAGATCTGATAAATTCCGATGTTTACTCTATGAAAAGACATAGTTAACTCTCTTCTTCACTCATCTCTAGTAAAGGGGAAGTTGAGCATAAAAACCCTTGAACGAATTGACCTAATTTAATAACCAAAACAACTGTAAAAAAATTAACAAAAATGCCGAGACTATCACATTATACAATTCGAAAGATAGCAAAAAACACAACCAAAGCACTCAATATAATCACTTAGAGCTGGTCTTTCTAGTTCGTTTCTTTGTCTCTCCATCAGTGATGCTCATCTTCTTCCTTTTGGGTGCATACCGACTTTCCAGGTCGGACATGAAGTTAGCGAAATTTGACTCTCTCTGCTTCATATTCTTCTCTATTTCCTTCTCCAGTTCACTCACTGAAAAACAAATATTACACTCAGAGTTAGTGTTACTCTCATCCAAGTTTTACTCACTATCAATCTGTTCAACCTCCTTCTTCTCTTTCTCATACTTCCTACGCCTCCTCAACTTCTTCAATTTGCTTTCGTTGAAGAAATTGTTGTAATGCTCCACCTCCCCGTCGTCCACCATTTTTTGTACTATTTCTATGATCCTCGGCTCGCTGTCACAGTTGCTGAAGGGCACCATCTCCAGAATCTTGTCCATGTTGCCCTTGCTGCCGACGTACGCCCGCTTAATGTCCCTCAGCTCAGTTTCCGAACCTATATACTCTTGCTCGTATTTCTCAATATCTTTGAGTTCTATCTGTGAAATAACAAATCGATTATAATGTATCATTGAAATTGAAGATGTGTATTCTTCCTTTTATAGATTATTATGTATGTATATATCAGTGAGTCAGTACCTTCTTGAACATGTTGCGCCAATAGTCCATCCAATTGAACAGGGAATCCGACTCCGACTCGTCATCATATTCGCCAACATCATCATACAGTTTGCGCTTATCAGGATTCTGCAAGATGGAGTGGATCCTTCCGAGAGCTTTGAACTTCTCTGTGGCTATTTCCTTCTGATCTTCTTCTACGCGATCTGGATGGACCAGCAAAGAGAGTCTGTGATAGGCCTTCTTAACTAAAACAAAGTTCGAATACGCGTTGGGTAATTTCTGAGGTGGTACCAGCTTTATTATTCAAAATGTTAACAGGTATACATAAACTCACAAAAACAGCAAATTTGGAAGATTATTTAAATAGTTGGATTAATCTTGGTAAAAAATGAAAATGACAAACTGATCAATTTTCCTGGAAAGTACAATTTTTATTTCTGACTGCAAAAAAACAATAGCCAAAAGTATTCGAAGTTCTGATTGATTTCTCTAATACATGATTGTACAATTACACTCCAAATTTTTTTAATGTTTAGGAGAGGGCAGTATTGAACATTAATGTTCCCAAATTTAAACATATTGGCTTTTTCATAAGACAAAAAATTGATTACTAGGATGAAAAGATCTACGACTATCTATCTGTATTTTTTTTGTTTTAGAAAACCTGTTAGTAATAATAACAACGTTGGATAAAGACTTACGTTCTTTTTCTGTGGCTTTGGGATCTACTTTTAGCACTTCGTAAAAATTACTGCAGCCAAAGTATTTTTCACAAATGGATTTGAAAGACGTCATGATGAAATTGTGGGGATTTTATTTTCTATTCGAATAATATGAAATATTCTACAAACTGAGATCGAAATAAACGAGAAACATTCCCGCTAAAATTAAATGTTTAACAGCAAAACAGAAATTTTGAGGTTTGAAATCATTGGAATAACGACATTTGACAACAGAACGACAGAACGACCGGAACATTATTGCTGCCACCTGTCACTCTAACAACAGGACACAATTTCTTTCCTAACTAGATGGCGTATCAAGTTACTATCATCAGGAGATGAAGATGACTACTTGGTTAGCCAAACGTGCGTATTGTTGCCCTAAAAAGTGTTTTCAATGGATTCACCCAATTTTTGTATTTTCATGAAAAGGGAAAATTACTGAACTCCCTGAAAGTATTGAAACCCATATAGATCACTATAAGACGGATATTGAAACTAACGTATGTGTTAATTATTATAAACGTTCTTTTATAATAAAAAAATACCGATTGACTTTTTCATGAATATAGAGCTTCCCTAGCAAAACATCGCTCATGATACAGAACTCTTCCATATGACTAGCTGTTGAGCTTCTAGCTTCATTTTTGAAATAAATTATCATTAGATAAAAAGATTGGGAATTATAATATGGTTCATATTTCAATCGAAAGAAGTTGATGAATCTTTCCTATTTCTTCAGGTTACCAGTAAACTGTGCTTCAGAGAACTTGTATGATTTCTGATAGATATATGGAAACCTTGGTGTTTCAATCGATTGTCAAAAGTTTTTGATGCGAGAAAAAATATTAATGTGATTCAAATCACTGTTGAAGAAGCTACTGTGTTACCGAAACATGTTGTGATATATTTTCCAAGACAAGTTTGTGGAGATCAAATCGTAAGTTGTAGTTTATGAAATTAATATGGATTTTCATCAAGTAACAGCCGAATTAATAAGAAAAAAAATATTGGCCCAATTTCGTACATATGTTTTCAGATGGTGAAAGAATGGAAACCTTCCATCCTTATTATCAATTCAATCCCAACACCTCATCACTTCTGTGAACAGAACACTGAAATTTATTAGATCTCTTTGTTTTTTCTTCATCAAGAGTGCATCTTGGACTTCTGTTATATCATTTTTCCATGCTATCAACAACTGAATTTCTAGTTGTCATTGTCAAAATTGAAATCAACGAAAGTCAATTTCAAACTTAGTTGTCAAAATTCCAAGTAACTCACCCATTTCTTCGATAAAAATCTAAAGTATTTAATCAATATGCAACCCCAAAAAATGCATGAAATGGTGAAACCTCTTCAATGGCTAATGGGAACCTGGAAATCCATCAGCGCCAAAGTCATGTACCCCACAATGAAAACGGTGGATTTCGAAGAAAAATTGTGCTTTTTATCAGCCGGTCAGCCTCTCTTGAACTACAGTTCGACCACTTGGAATCCCAAAGACAAAGCTCCGATGCATTTGGAATACGGCTATCTTCGAATAGATGAAGAAGGATGTCTAGTAGCATTGCTAACAGCTATGAATTTTGGGATTTCTACCGTGGAAGAAGGCACCCTTCAAGAAAAATCTTTAACAACTAATAGCAAAAGCATCGCACATACAAAATTTGCTAAAATGCCAGTGGTCGCTCTTCAGAGATGTTACTGCTTGAACGACAAGTGCCAGTTAAGTTACATCCTCAAAATGCAGACTGAGAGAACGCCGCTATCTACACATTTGGAATGTCTCTACGAAAAAGAAGAAGAAAAGTCGTGAAACGAATAATCAGTCTCAAAATCCGTATTAGTCATAGCTTATTTTATAAATATATCTCTTCAAAGTGCACCTAGTAAAAACTTGATACGTATATTAAATATTTCGAATAAAAAAATGTCAAGTTTTCAGATATTTCATTCGTTTTGTTGAAACTTTTCAGGTCAATAGAAGTTTAGAAATTATTTGTAGTTCATTCCAAAGCCCATGCCATATTTCATTAACCATTGTCACAAGGTGTCACTGCAAAACTCAAGGAAAGTGACGACAAAATTTAGTTTTTGATTTTCTGTTAAATATTACGTTTATTATTTAACTACAATTATGAAGAAACTATTGGCAAGAATTATTTGGAAAATATTAGTAGAACGATTATGAAAAGAATCAGATTCCAGGATCAATCATGTGATATTTTGTACCATAGAGGAATTAGCAAAAAGCAAATTGTACGCTAACTGAAAAGTTTTCCGTTAAAAATTGAAATGGTATCAACTCTTGGTATCTCCAACGATTGATGAACGGTTCAAGTTGTTGACAAGTATGCTGCTGATGGTGTATCAGAGGTGTATTCCGTTTCTATCAATTTTTATTAACTTTTTCACAACAGCTACGCCAAAATTTCTTCATTTCTGTGAGAAATGTAGTATATCAGATTCATCACCATTACCTAAATGACTTTGACAGTTAATTTCAAGTTGACAAGCATATCAAATTTGAAACCTCCGTAGTTTACTTTCAAACTCGGTTGTCAAAATTAATAGTAACTCAACCATTTTTTCTGTCGAAAATCTATCACAGCCCACGAAGATGCAACCGCAAAAAATGCACGAAATTTTAAAACCTCTCAAGTGGTTGATTGGAACGTGGAGGCCCATCATGGCCAGAGTCGTTTACCCCACAATGAAATGTCCCGTTGATTTCGACGAAAAATTATGCTTCTTATCAGCGGGTCAACCTGTATTGAATTATACTTCGACTTGTTGGCACCCCAAAGTCAAGCATCTGATGCATTTGGAAGGTGGTTATGTCCGTATCGATGAACACGGATGTTTGGTAACGTTTCTAACGGCTCAGAACTTGGGAATATCCACTGTAGAGCAAGGCGTTCTCAAAGATAAATCGTTGGAAACTGTGAACAAAACGATCTCAACGACGACGTTGTCGAATATGCAAATATTGGCTATTGAAAGGGTCTACATTTTGAATGACAAAGGCCAGCTGAGTTACACTCTCAGAATCCAGACTGCACATACACCTCTAGCCACGCATGTAGATTGTCTTTATGAGAAGGAAAAAGAAGAAAATGAAAAAAAAGAGAAGGTAGAAGATGAAGGACAAAATTCGTGAAACGATGATTTAGTCTCAATATTTGTATCACTAATTTCCTATTTTGTGAAAATATGTTTTAGGCTCCTCTAGTGCAAATTGTATACATACACAGTCTCTCGAGTGGATAACCAACGATTTTTTAATATTGAGAATAATAAAAAATTGGTACTTACACCATGAGTTTAAATCTTTCGGATATTTTCTTAGAAACAATCTATGGAAGTTTGATAATTTCAAAACTATACTTTTTAAATCGTATTTACCATAATGTTCCCAAAAATATGATGGTGTCTAAACTTCAATGATTTTGAAACACAAAAAAATTTTTTAAGACTACTATCAAATTAATTTTTTAATTTTCCAATATTTGTTCTTTTTCTGTAGTAAATGACTTGCGAATAAATTTACAGCGATCAATCAACAGTTGTGTATTGAAGTGAACTCAAGGAAAAATACATTTGATACATACTCATCTAGAAATTTTTCAAGTAATGTCTGATATAATACATTTTCAATATCATTGTTCACTTTATAACAGGTCTCTGTGTATTTCAGAAGATTTTCATGAAAAATAAATGTTTACAAAAGACAAATACAAATTTGAAAATTATTTATACAATATATTAAAACAAAAATCGAAACGAATGCTGTTTCATATGCCCTTTGTTCATAAAATGCATTTTCTACTAGATGTACCATATTTGTGTCATGATAAAGATTCAGCAAAGCATGAAAAGTGTAGCGAGGTGGACTATATTGTTCTCTACGCAATTGTTCATGTTATAAAATTATTTCATTTCAATATGTATATTGTTTTTGGCGAATTTCTAAAAAAGAAGATGGAGTACTTTCCAGGAATGGCTATTACTGTTATTATTGATCAGAACCTATAAGTAACCTTTCAATTAAATTGATGATACAATATAACTGAAGTCAGTTGAATATTATTAATAATTATTTATGTTGGTAGTAAGGCTTTCGTAAATGTTCATAATACAACCACGAGAGGCGCTGGCGATAGGTGGAATTTATTTAAATTCAAAGTCAAATGGAGTTTAAATTGATTTGTCCTTCTTCGACAAAAATCAGCTAAAAGGGTAAGGAGCTGAGCTCCAACCTGATTGAAATGAAGACGCTTGGGCAGCGAGTTTAAATTGTAGATTATTTTCAATTGAAACGGTTTGAAAAAAGCGACTACAAAAATCATATTTCACTATTTGTGATTTCTAAAGTCTTTAGTATTTTCTAATCATGAAAAAGAAGAAGAAAGAACTTTATACATTTAGTAGGACATGTCCTAATATGAAGTAGTAAGAAAAATATGTTTTTAGACTAACAGTAATACTAAAAAAATCTGTTCAAAATATGTTTTTCCGTTAATCAGCTGTCGCCTCAGAAGTTGAGAATCTTGTGCGAGCTAAGGACTAACGAGGTCTTACCTTTCAACGTGTGATTCCTAACAATATATAGACGAATACTAGAAATAAAATAATGTAAAGTTTATAAATTCATGTGAACAGGATTGAGTTTGTTGAAATAAATTCTGGAGATTTATACTGACTGGATACGTTTACTGATCCTTGTTTTGAATACATAAATAGTTGGTATTAGATTCCTTGATGTCTTGTGGTAGCACATTGAACTCATCAAGACCTTTATAGAATAACGAATGAAACATAATATTTCTTCTAGTAGTATAGTTGTGTATTTGGGAGTTGAGCTTAGTAAATTCCCTTAGATAATCTGGAAGTAGCTTGTAAAATATCTTGTAAATAAAAATCATTGATAATTTATAAACTAGATATTTCACTGATACCAACTGCAAATAATCTAACATCGTTGCAATGCTGGTATAAAACGATTACACTTCAGTCACAGATCAGTATTATTCTTATACCGCGATTTTGCAGCTTTTGAAGTTGTGAAATTTTATTCGAATCAATGGAGTAAAGTAAGCTACCACAATAATCAAAGTGAGGCTGGGTAATGGTGTTATATACTTCAATTTTGGAGTATGTTGAAAGACAGTGGGAAATTAAAGAGAAGAAGTAAAGTTTCTTACTAATTTTTTACTTATGTAGGAAAAATATTTATGCAATAACAGGGTATTATCAAGTATGGATTAAAGATATTTAAACTGCTTCACTGTTTCAATTTTTTTGGTATTTATTGAGTTAATGTTTATGTATTTAAAGAGTGTGGTTAGGATCATTGTCTTACATTTTGTTATGTTGAGTTTCATTTTGTTAATATTGAAATATATTTGTAGTTTTCATAGAGAATCGTTCATTTTGTTGATAGTACCAAGCAGATCATTGCCTGAGATTGACAGTAACGTGTCATCTGTGAATAGATTGAGGAAATCACATTGATAGTATTGTATATCATTGATATAGCCTAGGAGTAATAAAGGACCCAAGACACTTCCCTGTGGTGCAACAAAGTTATTAGTGATGATTTGAATGACTCTCAATGTCAGAAAACAGAGGATGGCTTTTATCTCAAAAATATTTTCATTTCACTCCTCAACATCCCGAATGATTGAAACTGGTAATTCAATTTTGTCAGTATGAAAATCTGTTTGGGGGTCAAATGCCAAAACTATCAAAGAATAGTTTTTATCATCATGGAAGTTTTTAGACAAATGAGGAAAGGAGTATTCAAACTGAAACAAATACAAATTACTCAACGAATTTTTTACAATTTGAATCTCTTGAAAAGCAGTATCACAGTAGGCAGGTAGCAAAAACTAAAAAAACAATAACAATTATCACAATTTACAATCCCAACCTTTCACGTAATGAATCATGTCCACCTCATGTGGAATTGGCCACGGCGGCATGTAACACTGGGTGTTCTCCAACAGCTTCCATGCATTGCCATCACTGATTTTCAACTCGTTCCCTTCTAACGTGGTGTTGATGCAAGAAATGTTCTTAGTGGGAGTGGTGAAAAGCTGGCCCCAAAACTGGTGAGCTTCTTCGATTATCTTACGAGCAAATGCAGCAGGTTTAGCCTGCCCATCGAAAGCAAACTGATTAGCTGGTTTACCGTCTGGCATTTTATAAATCCTGAACCAGTCAATGGTCGCTTTGAGCAGCCCTGGACAATAGGCATCCACATCAGACATGTCGTGGAGTTTCTCAGCGAGGGGATCCCTCACGTTAATAGCGATTACCTTCCAGTCTGTCTCACCTTCATCAATTAAAGCTATGGCCCCCAGGACCTTGACCTCCACTACTTCCCCTAGTCTCGCAATCCTCTGTCCGATTTCAATTATGTCCAAGGGGTCGTTGTCCCCCTTGCACTTGGTGAAGCTGTCCACGTGCCCTGGATCTTCCCAGGTCTGCGGTAGGGCTCCGTAGTTCCAGATGTATCCGTGATAAGGAAAACAGTTCTTGACGAATCTCGGCATATCTTTCTTGATGTCCTGCTTGATCGGGTTCAGAGGTTCTTCCCGAGAGATTTCCATTTTGGCGTTCGACCACCTGGGGATCTCGATCACCATGTTGAAGGTGTTATTCTGGGGATTCGCATGCAAGGGGATGTCGTGCCAAGGTGAGATTGGACCGTCGTGGTTTACGAAGTAGACTCTGTAATCTGGTGAATAGGGAGCGCCTCTTTCTGTTATGGAATAAGCCATTATTGAGATATTTCGCAGTTTCCACGTGGTGCAGTTGAAGACTGACTACTCCGCTTGGCGACAACACCATTACGATTTTTTATCGGAATTGTTCAAAGTTCAAAATATTTGTGATATACTCAAAGATACAGATGGCAAAAATAATAAATGGCCGTGTCTATTATTACGGTCACGGTATTGGAGTTTGAGTCGGTTTTTGGCTAAATTTTGGATGGATTGCAACCTCTGATCATGAAAAAAAGTGTGTGTGATACCGTATTTTGACGTGTAGAATATGAATCCACAAAAAAAATTGGTGATCTCTCTCATTTACAAAGTTACAGCCCTCGAAAGTTTCAAAAATTTTCAGCCTTTTTTTTGCACACTACAAACTGTAGAATAACAAGTATTCATTCACCAAATCACCACCAGAAATTATTTCACCCTCTTTGACACTTTCACCTAAACAATTAAGGTTTTCCCTATAAACAATAATTTCGTTTTCTGTTGATATTCCAACGTTGTAGGGTTTTATTTTGATTATTGAACTGACAAGTGTCAAAGAAGGTGAAATGAGATGTGAAGGTGATATAAATGAATAATTGTGTTTTTCTATAGTTAACATTGTGCATAAAAGGCTAAAAAGTTGCAATTTTTTTATTCTGGAAATAGTGGTGTCCTCAATTTTTTCTTTCGAATTCGTCAAAATGCCACTGAAAAGCTGTAACGTACCACAAGCCATACTTGCAACAGAAAGATCTTGCAAAAGCCAAAAACGTGTCTTTACGTACCTAAAGAAACCATTGTATGGCGAACGAAACACGTGGTTTGTTTTCGCAAAACTGTTTAATGAAAATCTCCCAATGAAGTGTTTCTTGAATAAGTATATTTTTGGAGTAATTGTGAATTTTATCAATGTTTTTTATTGACTGACTTTTTTTATTGTTGTAATTTTTATTGTTGTAATATTTTTCTTGTCGTCTGCATTAATTCTTTTCAATTTTAAATCAGTTATTCATTTTGTTTCACAAAGTATGGTTAGACAGGGGTAATCCAAATTTTTTCAAGGGTCCAACATCTAGATAAAGCATATTCGATCAGTTTTTATATTCATTTATTCAAAAATCAATATTCCAACAAAAGTCAAACGTTGCGAAAAATGGTTCAACGAATTCATTCAGTGAAATCTACCGAAAATCAACAAAAACAATGCAAAACAGAAAATTACAATACAAATTATAAAAACAATATGGATATAAATACATCTTTCCTATATGGCAAGGTCATTTGTTGCACCACCAATATTTTGTGTGTCTATGATTAGACACAATACAATAATTTTATGACAACAGCTGTCACATTTCAGAAGTACCAATAAAAACTCCAAAACAAGCAGTACCAATAAATAATATTGTATACTGAATCTTTTGGCATTTGTGAAGGACTTAATGTTCCTTGATGTTTTCTCAGTATTTTACCTTCCACGATATGAAAAATATATAAATGTAGATCAAGAGAGAATCTGTTAGATATAAAGACTATCTTTCCTATATAGTAGTGTAGATATAATTCCTCAATGCCAAGGTCATTTATTACACCACCAATATTTTGTGTGTCTATGATTAGACACAATACAATAATTTCATGACAACAGCTGTCACATTTCAGAAGTACCAATAAATAATATTGTATACTGAATCTTTTGACATTTGTGAAGGACTTAATGTTCCTTGATGTTTTCTCAGTATTTTACCTTCCATGATATGAAAAATATATAAATGTAGATCAAGAGAGAATCTGTTCCGAGTGTAATGAAGGGCAAATAGAAAGTTCACCCCGAAAATTACTACCATGTTGGTATCCCCACAAATGTTTATTTTCGAGTCCAATTAGTAAGTTGATGTATTAGATTAAATGAAATTTCAACATATTCGAGTCACATGTTACACTAATAATTTTACCAGAGTTTACATATGAGCTAATGAAATGAACAGAAAAAAACAGATTTAAGAGAAAGGAAGAATTCAATTATATTTGGTAATTCAGTAAGTTTTCCGAATTTCCAAATCTATTAATTACTAAACATTCCAAAAGATTGATTTTCAAACGTTCCTCTTCAAAATGTAATATTCATAGTCGTTTTTGCATTCATGCTCCTCTTCAAAATATAGTTGGAAAATGTGGTTTTTCTCTTCACATTCAAGAAACTACTTTTATGTTCTTTTACTCTTTGGGAAAAGTTCTCCCATTTTGGCCAAGCATCACAAGTTAAATCATATACTCCTGATCTATCAGACAATGAAGTTTCGTTCTTCGTCATTACAAAACTTCATTGTCGACCAAAACTACATATTGGCCAAACTTGAAGAATTTTTCCCAAAGGAATAAAAGAACACAGTAGTTTATTGAATGTGATTCATATGCCCATTTGATAGATTGGTATTTTTTTTTATAATTGATTAGTTCATACATAAACTTTGGTGGAATTATTAGTCAGTAAGTAGGTAGAAGGTCATGTGTAGAATCTAATCATTATGAACTTACCTGACAAAGATATTGAATGGCAAAACATGGGTTGCAGGTTTGTAAACTGTTCAGTAAAAATCTCACAATAAAGGTTCACTAGAAATTTTAAATGCTTTACTTTTTCAGAGTGGCTAACATTTAGGATAAAAAAACCAATTCCCTATATGAAACACGAAAAAAAATTACTGTTAAATATGCCTGTTTTGGAAATGTGTGTATTCCTTTTGACTGTGAACTTTCCAGTGTATCCTTAACTACACTTGAGCTGATTCTCTATTGATCTATAATAATTGTAAGGTATAAGCCCAGAGAACATCAAGGAATATTGTATAATGTATTACATACTGATCAAACAAATCTCAATTATACAAAATACATTTCTATTCTGTATACCAAGTTTTGTAACTTTTTCATCACTTACATGGTCTGGCAATTATTCTGAAAGATATCGAATGGAATATTTTCGATAAGTTTGTTCTGCAGGATCATTTTTATTTCCAATAGAAAAAATATTTCCAATTCCCATCAGCAACGAAACCCGAACAAAATTGGTTAAAAACAGTAACAGTTAAAATACTCAACTATGTAGTCAGTGAAAATTGCTTGAAAACAGCAGTCTTAGTGCCTTCGAAAGGCAATTTAACTCTGCCAGGAGCTGGGACACCACAAACTCCATGTTCCTCCTAAATAAATTAACCATTCAACGCACCACTCTCAATGACCATTACACTACTTTTTCCAACAAGTTCGCTTCACCGTTAATTATTTATCTACCCTTTTCCTCGCCTTCAGGTTCCTTTTGCTAGCAGCCGGCACTTTGTCGCTCTTCTCGCTATGAGAAGACCCTGCCAGGAAATTGGAAACCATATCTGACATTTCCGGCAGCTCAAACTTGGCCATATTCTGGATCTGCTCCATTTCTTTCTTGGTATCCGGATCATTCATCATCTTGGGCAGGACCATGATGAGGAACAGCGGAAACACCATCATCATGATCATCGGGTTGAAGAGAATGTCGGTGATCCTCCACTGTTCTCGTATTTGGAAGTATCTCGTTTTGCCTGGGGAATGTAAAGTCATTAAATTTACATACAGTGCAAGGCATAAATTCATCATGGCTACAACGAATCACTCACCCAACGCTTTCATCCTCAGCGGATAAGGCACCATGACCACCTCTGATGTCTTGATGTGGTTCACCTTCCTCGCCCTGAACTTTCCTTTCGAGTTGATCTCGACTCTTGCTGGCTCGAAAACGTACTCCGGGTTGAGCACCTCCACGACGTGCGAGCCGGCGGGGATATTGTAGACGGCGAAAGAGCCATCCTTTCGTACGAACCCGATAAATTCGCCCCCGTTCACGTGGACTCTAGTGTTGGCTTGCCAGTTAGGCTGGCTCGATTGGTAGTCGGAGAGGGCGAAGGCTCTGCCTTCTATCGTGTATCTAGTGGGGTCGGTCTCGTCTTCGGCGCTAGGTTGGGCCCCCGTGAGGGAGATATTGAGGAGTACGAAGAAAATCAGCAAGGAATTGAAGTAATCCATTGTCGTTTGTTGACAATGACACAACATACAACACGGGACAAGACAACAAGACTGATAGGTGACAGTGACATGGAGAGTGACAAGTGACACTAGTGACAAAACACTGTATTAGAACCGCAGCTGTCTTGGGCAGATGACCCCATGTGTACATATTATAATTAGCCGTACGAAGATACGAAAAAGTTATGTCAGCTATTTTTTTCAAATCGCTGTGGTTTCTTGCAGTTCTCGTTTGTAAAAGTATTGTATGCACTTAATCATTAATTTTACAATATATAAAGTTTTTTCATTTTAAGTCAGCAAAGTACTCCATTTTGACTTAGTATTTATCAGTCTCTTACTTATATAATAATGGAAACAATGAACGCTTCCCTCTCCCAGATACAACTCATCGAAAATTTTGGAACTGAGTCATGCGCTGAAATGAAGAAAAAAAAAGTTAAAAAAGGGACACCCTAATCACTTAGCGGTATGAAATTAACTCAACGATCCATTCTCATACCTATCAAATATACACAAAAAAATGCATATAAATTGTCGAGCAGTTCCGGAGGAGTGGGACCACAAACACTGTGATACGATATTTCCATAAATTATTTTCATATTATTTGTTGATAATCATAAGCAAGAAGTATTAATCAGCTACTGTGTATTCAAGAAACACTTCATTGTGAGATTTTCACTAAACACTTTAACAAAAGCGTAACACGTGTTTTGCTATACAATAGTTTCTTCAGGCGTGTCTTCACTAACTGAAATCCACATATTCAATGCTCTATATATGTTTTTTCAAATGTGAAAACTGGTTCATAAGTTCAGGTAATTTCATTCATTACAGGTTTTTTCAAATAAGGTTGTACAATTTCTCTTCTTTTCTCATGTTATTATTTATTGATTTATTTCCAAACTCAGGTACACATTTAACATGAATTGGTTGTAACTGGATTTCTATCCCGACACCAAACTGTTATTTTTAATACCTTGACAGGTGTTTCAATCACCAAGAGAAAAATTAATTGGCTAGGTAAAACTCAGGCACTATTCAGGTACTATAAATTGTAAAAACTTATATAAAGCAATGATATGTAGCCGGTCGCTGTCTCTAGAATGTTATTGATAGACAATGACCGAAAAGTATTATGTATGATTATGATCAAAATCTGGCGCCGTAACGGGAAACAAAGACAAAAAAAAAGAGAAGAAGAAGACTATGATCAAACAGATTTCTGTAAATTACATCTTTCAGAATTTTCAGTTCTCATAGATTTCGGATTGTGTTTGTAGTGTTTATACCTCAGATAATCAACAAATGGTGGTTTATAGTTTATTCATTATAACTTCATTTGATCAACAAATGCGAACAAAGATTCATTCCCGTATACAATGAAAATCGTTTGCAATGTATCAGTGGGAAACCGCCAGCTGCCGATCAATAAACCCAAAAAACATGTCAAATCAACTTTGGCGCTCTGCAAGAACCCGAACTCGGGCGATTTCTGCATCATCCTCTTCAATGGCCATAATAAGAACGGCACCAAATACAACCTGAAAGGCAACGTCAAACAAGTTCTGACAAAGTTTGCTAGCGAAGGAAAGTGCACAGTACAGTTCAAGATCCCAGAGCACGACTTATACATCTCCTGCGACGCTATTCAACTGAAAGGCTTTCTGCACCTCTTCAAGCGAGTCCTAGAGAACAAGGTGACTAGCAAGGAGCTTACCGTGTCTAGCTTGGCAGTCACTCCGGTGAGAGCCCAAGACATGGCCCCTAGAAAGCTGATCATCACAAAACGCTCCGACTACCCCTCCAAAGGGTTCCCAAGAACCCTCGAGGAGCTGCATATCAACGACATAGGCCGTTGCGGCGTAGACGTAGGGATCTTCCATCTGACCAAGCTAAGAGTCCTCGACTTGAGCTCCAACTGCATAGAGTTCGTTCCGGAAGAACTGAACATTCTGCCGAACTTGAAAGAATTGAACCTCTCGGCCAACCGGCTGCACAAAGCCACTTTCAGGCAGTGGAGCTGGATGCGGGGGAACCTGGCCAAGTCTCTTGTGCTGTTGAACCTCAGCCACAACGAACTTGTCGTCCTGCCCAACCAAATTCGCAAGTTGCACCAGCTCCAAACGCTGAACTTGAACTACAACTCCTTGCAAGCCTTGCCCACTAGTCTAGGTAGCATGAGCAATCTCAAAATCTTCTCCGCATCTAATAACAGCATTAAGTCTTTGCCCGGCAGCTTGAAGAAGTTGCGCCTCCAGTCAATCGATGTTTCGCACAACAATTTCTTGCAGCATGTGCCACACAGGCCTGCAGATGTGTCCTGTCCGCTGAGAGTGTGCTCTCTCAAGGAATACGCTTCTAGGAAAGTTCTAGGGGCTCGTCTGCCCTACCCTCCAGGCTCGCTACCTGTCACTGTGATAAACTACTTGGACGACGCTGGGTTTTGTGTGTGCGGTAAGGCGTGTCTTGAAGTTTTTGTCAAGAGCTCGCACAATCTAATGTTGACGACAATCGCTGAAAGCGTGAGTACTTCGGTGGGGGAGAAGATGTTTGTGCCCATAGACTGTTACTTTTGTTCTTTGAAGTGCTATAATTTTGCTTTGCAGACTAGGACAAGGCATCCTATTGTGAGGTAGGACGCGGTTGATTTGAACTGATAGGGGTAGTGTAGTTGTGGTTTTGTTGGTTTGTTTAAAGGAAGTTTTGATGTTGTTTTGAGTTGTGATTTTGTAGAAATTATTCAGTGGCTAGATGGCTTTCAAAGGATGACTGTGTAATAAAGAAGAAGAAGAGTTTTTAATTTGATACAGCGTTGGCCTACGCTTCACAGGTCTATCAGCCCACAGGTGACTTTCATAAAGTGTCCGGTTTTTCGTGCAGTTCATTAGTCTTCGATTCTAGGATTGGAATTTTGAAAGATGATTCTAAAATCCCTGAATTTTGCAGCAATGAAATGCAATGCAGATCCCTCCTTCCTGGACAAATGCATAACTTACTATTACTGCTAAAATATAAATTTCGTGATATTTCACTAAGGTTTTGATGTTTTTATGTTTAATAATTTATTGTAGACTAGGAAATGGTAAATGGTACCCCATTTGCCAAAGTTATTTGCACATTACAGATGTTTGTTATTGAAATGAAGTTTTCCCTGGAAATATGTAATTGGTAACACATGAGCCAGAAATACAGGTACCTCTGTTGCATATTACTAATCTTATACATACCGGATCTGTCATTCACGCCAAAAATTATTCGCTCTGAATGAGAGCAGATAACTTTTGGCGTTAATTATTGAATCTGGGTGGGAACAATACACTACTGTTGATTACTACTTTGAACAGGATATATTTCTATATATGTATTTTCATAATCCTACACAACTCTAAATGATGTTTACTTATATCCCATATAACTGATGTATCCCTCAAGATATTTTATATAAGCAACGTTCTTTCATGAAATAATAATATAGTTGATTTGAATATAATATTGTAGTTTTGCATTTTTGATTGACATTCTGTTTGTAATTGAATGACCTCAATGAAAAGAAAGACTGAAAATTCTGGCTTTGAATAAATCCAAAATGAGCATATTTCCCATGCTTTCTTCATCTTCTGAAGACCCAACCTGGTTGGTGAAACGCGCGACAAGAAGTGTATTGCAGTTCTGGTGTTTGGGAAAAGTGCTTATTTTGGTCGAAGTTGTAATTTTTTTTATTTGGCACCGGAATCCATACTCTGATATAAAGGGGTGAAGAAACTACGTATGAGAAAAAAGATTACGGTTTTTACCTCTAGTAGTGATGTCAATATTTTTATATAACTATCAAAAAAAGCGTCAATTATGTCATTCCATTGCACAGCAAAGCCGTCTTTGATTACCTTCAACCTAGTTCCTCCACTTCCAATCATATATTTTTCAAATGTATAAAAAAATATGTATCCTACATTAGTTTAAATTTGTCGCTCTTTTCCACCAATGACGTCAAAAAATGGCGTTCAAATTTTTTGACATTTTTTCCAATGATATATCTCTGAAACGGGCCTTCATTCGATACGTTAGTGTGTTTCCATTGGTTAAGTAATTCATGGAAATTTTTCTGTTGAATTCAAATACAACTTTACTGTCAAGTAATCTTAGTCATCAATGCACATTCAGTGAAAATTTTACTGAGTGGTTCATTTGAAAGATATTTGATTACTATTGGTTGAAAGTAAATGCGTATATACATCGCTGAATAAAATGATTTGGCTCATTCCACAACCAGCACCACGGAACTTAAGTTCTGGTAAAAAACGTATTTCATTAGTTCGGATTTCCATTGTCCAGATGGCGTACTAAACAGACAAAAGTCAAGCTAGTAGTTGATAATTAATTTTTCTTGTAGTTGAAAAATTTGTGTTCATGTGATATTTGTGCTTTTTCGTGTTAATGTGCAACAAACTAATATAGAGAATTGAAATGGAGGATAAGAACGTAATTCCCGAAATCCTCCGAGTCGATATCAAAACAGAAATAGTGAAAGAAGAACCAGTGCCTGCGCAAGCGCTAATCGCTTTATTCCATCTTTGCATCATGTGGGAAGCTGTCACTTGTCAATTATTCTAATGACAGTGTTGGCGACCATTAATGCTATACAATTATAGCGAAAAGCATACATTTTCATCTGTCATTTTCGTACAATTTTTTTTTGCCTTAGAGCAGCACTGCTTCCACCAGATGGCAGATGGCGTGCTTTACAGACAAAAGTCAAGCTAGGAGAAAATTAATTTTTCCTGTAGTTGAAGAATTTCTGTTTGTGTGATATTTGTGTTTTTTCGTGTTGATGTGCAACTAACTAATATACTAATATAGAGAATTGAAATGGAGGATAAGAACGTAATTCCCGAAATCGTCCGAGTCGATATCAAAACAGAAATAGTGAAAGAAGAACCTATAGAAGCTGAGGACTCCTTCGTCGAGTGTGAAACGTGTAAAGAAAACTCTACTAGTGAAAAAGACTGCGCGCACCGCCCCAGTGATAGGTTAGGATTGCCACGGGGCGAATGCCGAACAAACGGTAATTACAGTTCTCTCCCCACTTGGGCGACGTTATTATTATTGTGATTCTCCAGTTTCAGATCCCGAAGAGGATGTGAAACCCAAAGTGGAGCCCGATGACAGAGAAAGCCTGTCAGACGATTTGATAGACAAACTAATAGAATCAGGAGTAACAGAGAAAGAGGAAAACTATCACGATGTACCAGAGATTTTGCCGGAGGATACAGACTTCCTTCGGACTGAAATCAAAATGGAAGAGGTCGATATCGACAGTGTCAAAGACGAACTTGACAATAACGAGGCGAGTATCAGCTCGGAAGCATTAGGACAGGAGGAAGATAGTAATGAAAATCCCAAGCCAGGGCCCTCCGAAGAAGCCAAGAAAGGTGAGTTTTTCCAAGCAATATGTATTTGACAGGGGAATGAAATCGTTGGAAGTTTTTATTGTTTGTTAATTGGGAGTTTTTCTGTGAGGAAATATAAGGCATTACTGTTACTTGCGTAACATTTTCATGCCACCTTTTTTTGAGCTTTAAAAAATAATTTTGACAAAAAAATCCCTTTTTATGGAACACGTTTTGATAAAACATCACTGCTCTACTAGATTGTTTTTTATTTGCTGGCAATATCACTGGAAGTAAAAATATAGAAAATACAATTCAGTTTAAAAATACACTGAACTTAAACCACACATAAAATAACACTTCTAATGGTTATTTGAAACACTAATTATATATAATTTCATCAATAATCACAGGATACATACACAATTGTTCAACTTACGGCCCGGCCACGGGGATCGGCGGTGCGAACGTCAAGCGGGGGGCCGAGGCGACCATTCGCGCGGCACCGTTTGCAGGCCTCGGACAGTCACGTTCGCCGCCACGACCAGTTGTCCGACAGCGAAATGTCTTTATCGAAATTATCTCAATATTGCTTAGAAAGTAATAGTTTTTTGGTTCAGGACCTAATATTTTGAAGAGATTGCGGAGTATATGAATTGAATAAGAATCGGGGTATAGATGGAGAATTCCACAAGAAGTACAAGAAATACAGATTATATCCAGTAAAATTGTTTGAGTATACCAGAAAGAGTATTGAAACCTTCGATTATTTTCTTATGAATATTCAACCAGAATTGGAGAAAAAAGTTGATGCAATTAGAATTTTNATATATCGTTTTGGCGACTGTGCTTCGGTCTAGAGAGTATGACTGAGCCAGAGATTTAAAAGTCATTCCAATGGAGAGAAATCTGAAACATAAAATATTTTTTCTTTGTGCACCTACACATTTACTATCTTCATTATTTTTGTTTGTTAGTGCCCTAACTTAAATATTGAGGTTTAATCAAATCATTTTTTCCAGTTGGTGATCTCAAAAAGAAATGGAATAACCTGAGGGACACATATAGTAAAGAGTTAAAGAAAATACCTAAACCCCATTCGGGTGATTCGCCCTCAAATTATGAACCAGCCGGGAAATACTTCACGCTTTTAGGATTCTTTAAAGATGAGTACATGCCTTTAGCTGCTGAATCAAACTTAGATGAAGGAGACAGTGGAATAATCGATAAAGAAGACAATGATGATATGTCCATTGAAGTTATAAATGAAGTAAGGTCACCTTCTCGTGCATCTTCACCCATTGAACCCTCTACCTCTAATTCCCAAAATTCAAAAAGGCGACAAAATATACAAGATAATCGGGCACAGTATTTAGAGATTGAGAAAAAAAAAGTAAAACTTTCAGAAAACGATATGTCTAAAAATAAACCAGTTGACAGTGAAAAAAAATCAGGTGACTACCATTTTTTAATGAGTATTTTGCCGGAAATGGAAAAACTACCTACTATCCAAAAAATAAGGTTAAGAAATAAAATAAACCAGGCTCTTTTAGACGAAATAAATGTCACGATGTACGGAGATCCTTATGGGCGCTATGGTTACTAATAGAATACCTACATATAAGTAACATCGAAAAGACTGATTATTATAATTCAAAATGGTTGAAGAGAACAAAAAAGACTGATTTAAAAGTTTGAAATTCATTATTCATTCTACCGTCAATTACAAGTTTGTTTTTTGTTTTAATTGTACGAAAAATTACTGTCATATAATTTAGATTTTTGCAAACCCCCATACGAACGACAACTCTCAGAAGTTGAGAAACTTCTGATTCCTAACACGGTTGCAGAATCATCCCAGCTTCAAACAGATAAATTCTCTCGGGAAAAATATCTGGTCGACGTAGGAATCGAACTCACGACCTTCCGATCGTGAGTCGGACGCACTACCACCGCGACAAATTCCACAACTACATCTACAGAAAGTATTCACACAACCAATGATAGGTTATAAAATTTAAGTCACAACTGAATGTGAAAAGTCACCAGATTCAAGACTATTCCCTTTTCATCATCCCTTCTGATTTCATAATCTGTCCTTCACTAAAAATAGTTGTGTGCTGCCGGACATACGGTATGTAATGAAGATAATGGCCCTATATAGGTCAGCTCAGCTGTTCTCGCAACATGTGCACCACCGCCCGGCACAAGCCCACTTTGTTTATTATCGACGTAGGCGGCGGATTATGGGTCAAAGTAGGCCTTTCCTTCGGGGAATAAGCTTGTTACGCGTTCTTCTAGGTAGTTATGAACAGAGGCCACGACGTACGTTGTTATTCTCGAACAACTGTAATTACGGCGAAATTCAATTATGTATGATGCTTCAGGGGAAGTACAGTTTTCTGAGAAAATGATCTCTGTCCCTTCCTAATATGTTCGTCTCTGAACCTTCCTATTCACAATACTGAACAAGATTTTTTTCATAAATTCTCTATTGAATGTTGCTCTCCACAACTTATACAGTTGTGGAATTTAAAAGGTTTCCATGAAAATCAATTGTGAAATACAAAGACGATATTTAATTGATGGTTTCCTTTATGCTTTCATTACAACTCAGATGAACTAACTTTCAGCTATATATCAAGAAACTCATAAAANAAAACAGACTGAATAAATGACAATTTGACAGGTGTATCGTCAATAAGATGACCGTTATCACTTGTCAAGTTCCTGTTGGAAAACACTTTAGTTTTCCAAATAGTGTCTTTTATCAAAGTAATCCCCTTTGTTTCTAATTTGTTTCTTCCAGCGCTTTTTACGTTGAAACACGAAGGCTAATCCTCATTGTCCAAAATTCATAAAGTTTTTTCCTCAAGAACTGCAAAGACTTTGAAAAATGGCTAGAAGTCGCAAAAGGACAATTTTGCACTGTGCTATGCAGTACATCCACTTTCTATAGAAAGCTACGTTAAACTTTGCTATACCCATTTAAAAATATACTATAATATTTATTCAATAATAGAGAAAACCATCAATGGCTAATTGTAACGATAATTTTTCAATGAAGTAAGAAAGGAAGTAATTTCGGTGGGTTTTTTTCTACGTTGGAGGTTTCAACACTGTGCACGGAAAATTGATAATGACATGTTTGGATTCAATAAGCCTTCTGGAAAATGTTCGAACGACAAAACATACTGTATACAAACCTTTTAGCAATAACTCAACACTAAGCTAGCAAGTGTTTTATTTTCTCATCGAAAACAGTACTCGTGTTCCGCTATTTTATTTTGTCGGTGTCAAACGGTGATGTTTGTTAAAGGTCGGGACATACATAACCGCACCGAGCCCGCACCAACACACGGCCGAGTGTTGGACGTGCTACGGCAAGAAAGAAAAATAAGGTATTTTAACTGTAGGGACACATATCTCCGCACCGCGCCAGCACCGCGGCCGTGCTCGGAGACCGCAGAGAGCCCGCACCGTCACAGGCTAGCTCAGTTTACTTTTTGACGGTGACGGTGCGGCCACGTTCAACATGGAGGGCGAAAAACTGATTGAAGAAGTGCGGAAATTTCCTGTTTTGTACGATCAGAGTGATGTTAAGTATCGGAATACCGAATACAAGGAAAGGATATGGAAAATAATTTCCGAAACACTAAAAGTGCCAGGTATGTTACATGTTTTTATAGTACGTAGTTGGTGTGTCAAATGAATGTACACAGAAAGGTTGAAGTTATTCAAATTTGTAAGGTAAAAGTGCAAACGTTAGTTGGGTGTCTTATATTCTCAGTGCAGCCCTTTCTTGCCACTCTACACTTCCAACAGGAGAGTTGAAGAAGTCTTTGAGTTTATCACGCAAATCAAATGCTGCTCTCGTTGATCCTCCTCGTAGACGGGGTAGGTCTTGAAGACTGCAGGCCCCTCCAGCAATTGTGGTGCTTTCAATATCCTCAGTGTTATCAGTTGATGCTGCCATGTTACTTCCTTCATTTTGTCTTATGAAATTGTAAAGGGTGCAAGCAGCTAGTATTAAAGTTGATATGTTTTCCGGTTTTCCTTGTAACCGCCGAGAGAATATGCGAAACTTCTGTACTAAAATTCCAAACGCATTTTCAGAAATCCTTCTTGCTCTGCTTAGACGATAATTAAATATCCTCTTTTCATCTGTCAAACCTTTTCCTGGGTAAGGTCTCATCATATAATTTTTGAGAGGAAAGCCTTCGTCACCTACAATGACCATTGGCAGTTCAACATTGCTTCCGGGTAGTGTTCTACTGTTAGGAACATTGAGCTGGCCATGCTCCAGAGCTCTACCGAAATTCGAGTTTAAAAAAATTCCTCCATCCGAGTTTTTTCCATAACCTCCCACATCTACTACAATGAAGTTGTAGCATGGGTCAACTAAACCAAGAAGTACAATGGAGTATGTGTGTTTGTAATTCCAGTACAGGCTTCCCGATAACTTCGGAGCTTGAATTGTAACATGCTTCCCATCTAAGGCACCAATACAGTTGGGGAACTGCCACTTTTCCCAGAACTCGGAGGCAACAGTGTTCCATTTTGCTTCATCTGGCACAGGCATGACCTCGTTTAAAATAACGTCCACAATTGCTTTACATGTACTGTGAATGATAGAAGCTACAGTGGATCTTCCCATCCTGTAGCTGAATGAAATAGTCTTGAAAGTATCACCAGTTGCAAGGAACCTGAAAAAAAAGTATTTGTGTTATTAAGACTTATGCAAACATGGTTTTATTTTGTAAAAAAATAAGTATAGGTAAAATCAAGTCCATTCGGATTGACCAAAAAAATTTACTGAAGCTGCTCTGTCCCTTTATTTAGGGGAAGGGGGTTCTACTAAACTATTAAAGAATATTTTTTGTTTCCAGGAGGGCCAGAAGAGTGCAAAAAAAAGTGGGCTTCAATTCGAGACCAGTTCCGTCGGACTCTACAGAAGAGGAAGACAAAATCAGGTCAAGCTGCAGCCAAAAAACAAAAATACAAATATGAAGAAGTATTAGACTTTTTGCTTCCTCATATTATGGGCAGAGAAACCTTGTCGAATGTTCCCTCATGTGAAGAGAAAACGGATGATTCAGAATTGAACCCAAGGATGGAAGAGTCTGAACTTGATCCAGAAAGTGAGGCTGAGAGCCAAAAGGAGGTTTCACAGTGTTCTGGCAATTCTCAAACTATAGTTCAGCCTACTTCTCCAGTTCCTCTAGCTGGGCGCACGCAAGCTACTCCAAGAAAAAAGCACTACTTTGCTAGGCCAGTGAATGTAAAACGAACTGGAGCCAATGTTCAGAAAACTGCTCACGAGTCTCCTTCGAGCCAACTTATGGCGTACATATTAGCTGAAAAAGAAACAGAAAGGAACCAAACAATATGTGCAACCAATCCTCCGCAGCACCCTGTAGATATTTTTCTTGCCAGCTTGGCTCCTACTCTAAAATCTCTGGATCCTATATTGCTGAACCAAGCAAAAACTGCAATATTTGCCACTGTACAGGAGTTTGAGTTGAAGCAATTAAACCGAATAACAACAAACCCGCTTGGGTTGGATATGGCGGACCTGCCCTCATTTGCAACAGCCGCAGGCAGCAGTAGCACCTCACATTCGTCATTAACCAACGAATCTCCTCATGAGAATTCTCCTCATATGGATTGTTCTACATCGTTCTTTGATTTGTAAAAATGTTTACATATTAAAGTATTGGTTTTTTGACAATACATCGTATGTGTTCTTTACCTTTTATTAGACTAATAAAATTTTACAAAATACAGAAAATATAACAGAAAATTTGGTAAATGAGCTGTTTCCAAAATTATTCTGTAATATAATTCTGAATTGTTAAATGATACTGAATTCTGTAATATGAGCTTTTTACAAAACTAACATCTTCAATGATAGCTTATTATAAAACCTGCGGTTGTAAGATCGAACTGCATTTTGATTTATTTTATTACAATACATTGAATTGAATATACATGATATATTTTTTGAGACATTGAGTTTTATCAGTAGGTGATATGGCATACGAATAAGAAACCTGCGTAAAAATGGTAATCATCTTTTAAAAATGAGTATTTGACAAAAAAAAGTTGGCACTAACCTTAAGCACACAGCCAGACGTTCTCTTGGTGGAATACATGTCCTCCAGAAAGTGTCGTTTTTCTTTAGTGTTATTTGCAATTTGTTAAGAAGAAGATAGAAAGTATTTTGTGTCATTCGAAAATATCCGTAGAACTTGATTTCATCATCCATGAGACGGGGAAACAGGGTATTAAATTCTCCTTCAATGGGTCTTGATTTCCATGCACTGTCAACCCAAATCCTCTTTCTTCGTCCCCTCAAAGTTGCCTCTTCATCTCCTTCCTGTAGAGCCAAGGCAATCATTGCCAAATCACTATTTCGAAATTTTGAGAACATGACCGAAACAGACAAAACCACCGCGCTGAGAAGTGTACTAACATATACTAACGACCGTCACCCGGAACGGTGACGGGCTAGTGTGTTCTCCTACCACCGTCACCAACATTTGTCCGTGTCGCTATCTCTGCTCGGGGAGGACGCGGTGCGGGCTCGGTGCGGTTATGTGTGTCTCGACCTTAATGGAGATGAGGCGCAGGCCTTTTACCCTTCCGCGTCTCTCCTATGTAAACAAATGGTCCAATGTTCATAGAAGTGACGTGTCGCGTGCGGTAGCCCTCCCGCCTCAGACCCGTCTCTCGTGGCGTACAAGAAGGGAAATGCCAGTTCCTCGCCACGTGTTTTTCCGTGTTCATCTTCAAAAATGCAGGATGATGTTGACTTCAACATACAATTTTGCGAAGAAGTTGTCAAATATCCTTGTTTATTTGATTTTGAACGTGCTGAATATTGAAATAGAAGTGCCCAAGACCAAACCTGGCAGAAAATTACTGATAAATTTGACGCCCAAGGTAAGTTGTAACCAATTTACTACATTTATTTACAATTAACTCGATAGTTTACATGGTTTTGAGGGAAAGTGGGCAGAGAAAAGGATTTCCACAAAATAAATTCAAATAAATGAAATTGTTTACTAAAATTGTACTGTAATTATAACATTACTATTTCTTCTGGCATTCTGTATATTATATTGTTGTAGGTATGTATGCATTACACGAATACCTATCCTGATTTGGGATAGAAGCACAATCATCGAAATACGTGGTTAGGGACTCCCTGATATTTTTTGCATTCGATTGAACCAAGTGGTGGTAATCGGGCAATGGAATCGTCAACCACATTTTCGTATTAGCGTTTTGTAAAAACTCCATCGCATTTTTTATGGCGTTATGCAAAACACACATTGCCTAAACTATAGTATCAAATTTATCAGGGTTACATCGTATGAGTGTCTTGAGAGCTCCAAACTTGATAGAGAGTACTCCAAAAGAGCATTCCACTGATTTTCTTCCTCTCGACAATCTGAAATTATAATGGAATCGGCGTTTTGTCTCCTGGTAGCGGACGAGATAAATCAAGATTTCTGGACTGCAAAGCCCTGTCGAGATTACTGTTTGTCAATACCCGGCCATCGCTGACTTCAAATGTGATCGTAGATACATCGATGATGCAGAACGCAGTTGACGTCCAAATGAGGCAGTACCACTAGAAAACATAAAAAATACACAAAATCGTTTTGAATGATCGAAAAGTGAAGTTGCGTGAGTTATTAGCTGACATTTTAAAGATATCAAAAGAACGTGTTAGATTTATATTGCATGAGCATTTGATTATGAGAAAGCGCTGTTCAAGTGTGTGCCGCACGAGCTCACAATCGACCAAAAACAAGAACGTCTTGATGATTTTGAGCAGTGTTTGGCCATGTTAAAACATAACAAACCAGAATTTTTGCGTCTATATATGACAATGGATGAAACATGGACCCATCACTTCGAGAGGAAGATTATTATGATATCATGAATTACTCTTATACAAAAATTATTGTTTTCAATGTCAAATTTCAAATTATCCGTTTACAAAATTAAGTAAAATCACGGTTTAAAAAATATAAACAATGTTCTCCTCTATGACAATAACAAAGACATTCTCCACTTCTTGGATTGGTAGATACTTCTTGCTGTCTCCTCGGAACAAAACTCACCACCTATTCGAATACTTTGTGATTGAAGATGAAGCTATCTACACATACAAGGTCATACGACGTGGTCCACGCTCAAAGCCAAGTGTCACGGTCGATCTTCAAACACTCAATGTCATATGACGTGCACATGGCTCAAGGTCGTGTGACGGCATTCAAGGTCAAGTGGTGTGGGAAATTGAGAACTGGCATTAACACTCTACTATTGGAAGTCAAGCTTTTGAAATGTTTTTGTTTTCAAAAGAATGAAATTTCAACAATGTTAACACTATGTGGTTCTGTAAATTATGACCAGTGTCCGTGGACAGCAAACTTCTTTCGTGTACATTGGCATTCGCACTAAAGAAGACATCACATTACGTTATTGCATTATTTCTCAGGTATATAATTGTTGATGAAACAAAATCTAACCTAACTTATTCGATGGATGACCTATCTATTTTGTAGAGATTCATATTGAATATAGAATATATATGATTTTTTACGACCGGTTTCGGTCGAACCAAATAAAAAACTTACTAGAAATCAGGCAAAGGTTATTTCCTTATTCTATATTCAAAATCTAACCTGTAACATAACCTAGCCAAAGCTAGATTCAACTATACTATAACCCCAAAATCGTAAGCACTAAATTCTCAGAAATTACTGTGAAGTTCAAAAACTATATTCATTTGCTTTAAAGTGCGCAATAAAACACGTCGTGATATTTTGGGCATCGATTCATCGGAACTTATTTCGAATGTGACTTTTTTTAAGGTTGGGATTCAATTTCGAAAAGAGAACACATGGAATTTCCTACGAATAGCATATTTGGTGCAATCATCAAGCTGAATTGTGTTTTTTCCTCTAATTTCAGTGTCTTTAGATACATAAACACATTTACCTTAAATTTCTGTAAACGTTTCGAGAATTCTGTGAACTACACAGATTAACTACGTCGTTATGCAACATTTTTTCTTTTCATTGCGTTCACGCACACATTGTATGTAATAGTTTTTTCTCCTTCAGATAAACTCGGACGTCTGCGTTTGCTTTGACTGCTTTCACAGTTGACGGCACACAATTAAACTGATTTATAATGATATTTCTTTTGTTTCACTACGTCTTTTTGTTTGAACTACGTGTGCTTTATTTGAGTTAGCTCCTAATAGATTTATTCCATCAAGAAATGGCCCTGAAAAATATCAAGTGGGGAAAAGATTCCTACGACATCATAACGAATGTTAACAGTGATTGACTATCTCATGCATATCTACCGAACAATCCTGATTCTGCTTTACCTTTTTTGCAGCCAGAGCGATACATAAAAGCGGAAAATATTGCGTAGTTCCTAGATGCGAAAACTCCGTATCTTCGACTCCGGATAAACATTTCTTCCCTATTCCGAGAGAGCCTAACTTGAGGCAGGCCTGGCAACGCGCAATGGGCAACACTGAAATCGTCCTTCCAATCTACTCGTATTGCTGCGAAGACCATTTCAAAGTGAGTCGGTGTCCTTACACGTAATTCCATAAAGTCCCCTGAATCGTTTGTTCGCAGCTGGAAAAAGACACCGAGAACTACATGCAGTTCAAGATGATGGGGAACGTCAAGCTGAAGATGAAACCGAAGGTAGTTCCGAGCGTTTTCGCTTGCCAGAAGAAACCGTCGAAGAGGCTGTTGCCGGACTTTGTTGCCGTGGCAGAGAAAAAAGCGAAGGTTGAGAAGAGCGTCCGACATCAGGGGACCCAAACGGAGAAAAGTCTGTATATGAGGGACGCCGCCGTACAGGTGGATTTGGGAGAGGAGGTAGAGGTAGAAGAGAAAGTGAAGAAAACCCCAAAGGGAAGCAGGAAGAAGAGGAAGATTAAGTCGAAATGATTCTGTTGGTATGAGGGTGGAAGACTGGAAGACATACACTGTCTTTTAACAAAATAAATATTTGCTACGACCCAGTGTTTCTTTTCCGAAACCAAGAAATTCATTGAAATTCTCAAACATATACGCGTTTGTCAAATATTCAACAAGGAATCAAAAAAATGTCTGAAACGATATTTTAACAAAATCTAGAAATACGTCAAATTTAAATTAAAATTTGACAGACTTCAATGGAAAAATAATACCTTCATCTTTAACCCTCTAAAAGATGTCATATCAAATTGTGTCAACAATATGTTATGATCGATGCCTCTCGTGGGGTATTGACCATCAACTTTAAGACATAAGTATTTTAGGAAATTCCTTTGTACGCTCTCAATTGATGTTTTTTGGTAGTCGTAAACCGGATTCCATAACAAAGAGCCATACTCTAACTTAGATCTGGCATAAGCAAAATATAGTAATTTTGAAGTGGCAATGCTTTTGAAGTTCTTGCCATTTCTGTAAATGAATCCAAGCATCCTATTTGCATCAGCAGTCATATTCCTTATATGTGTTGAAAATGTTAATTTACTGTCGTATGTTACACCAAGATCTTTTATCTCATGTACGTGGTTGATTGTAGATTTGTTGATTGAATAATCGTACATTAAAGTTCGCTTTTTTGTTGTAAATGATATTATTTTACATTTGAATACGTTCAGTTGTAGACGATTATTATTACACCAAAGTTTGATTACATCTAATTCATATTGTACACGTTGGTAGTCAGTAATGTCGTCGATTTTATAATATAGCTTCAGTTGGTCTGCAAATAGTAGGCTAGGAATATTCAAAGAGGTTGCCAAGGCATTAATAAAAATAAAAAATAAAAGAGGTCCAAGATTGGAACCTTGTGGCACCCCAGATATAACTACGTACTGCGCCGATTTGAAAGATTCATATTCGACAAATTGTTTTCTGTTAATTAGATATGATTCAATTAGAGTGAGTAGTTGGTTTGAACCTTTTAAATGGGAAGTGTAGGCTTGTGATATATCGTTTGAAAGGTCTCTTCATTCTCTATTAAAAAATGTTATTGCTTTCAAGTTTACTACTAGTACAGGTACAAATACAACTGATTACCTGACAAGGCATAAATACCCTTTACGAAGCCTAAAAGTTAGTCATCGGACAGCAGGTCATGATGGTTACACCTCTGAACAAGCTAGCCACTTGCGCCAGCGAAACGTCAGGAAGAAAATCCAAAAATCCACGGATTTCAAACTCGAAAAACAATGACACTGATAATGACTAATTCTTTGACAATAAAGCACAGTTTTGATTGATTAATTGATAGAAACTTATTGAATAAAACAATTCCCAACTGTGAATTCTGGTGGTGTTAATGATGAGGAATTTCAGTATTCATTGTATTCTTCGGTTCTCCTGGTGATGGTATTTGTAAAAACAAATATTCTTTCATGACGAATCTGTTTTTGGAGTTATATTTCTTTTGGCGAGTTAGGGAAAAATGATGAGAGTAAATTTTTACGACGCGCGCACACACCGTCACGAAAAACCGACACCCTGAAGTTAGCTTCTTCTTCTTCTTTATCGTCAAGTTGTCCCATACACAGCACAACATAATGAGAGTATCAAAATAAATTTAATAAATATTTGGAGTACATGAATAATCTTAAACAGATAATCAAATAAATCACAGCGAGAAATTATTTTAAAAAAACGATTTAAATGTTTCAGTTTTCAAGATACCTTCGAATAATGCAGAGAAATGTAAAAATTATCGCAACCGAAAAAAGAAAGATGCAGCTCTAAAAATAAAAACTTCAAAAACATCTGCAGAAAGGTCTCGGACGTATAGGCGGCGGAAAAAACAACTTGCTCAAGGAAGTAAATTATCTGCGAATGAAGTTTTGGATACTCCATCAACTTCGAATTCGCAAACGACGTTAGAACCATCGTCTCAGCCTGTTACTACCGGTAAATATAATTCTCTTATCTCAGTAGGGCAACGCGAAGGTTACAATTTTCAGAAAGATTTTCATCTTGTTACGCAAGAGAAGTATAACTTCTTACGTACGTTCATAAGTACACACACACTCTTTTTTTCTGTAGATTAATTCACACTTTCCATTTGTGAAATTGTCCCATTTCGTTGTTTTGTGTAAAGTTTTGAGTGTATCTCCCTCGTTTTTTTCCAGATAATGCAGGGAAGGAGACACTTGGTCCCATTTTCTTTTCGAAGTCTCTCACTAGAATTTACAACTTGCAACTTCACAGGAAATTCCAAAACGGGAAGAAACCGTATGAGTGTCAGGTCTGTTTGAAATCTTTTTCCGACTCTTCCACTCTGGTGGCACACACAAGAATCCATACTGGAGAGAAACCGTTTCAGTGTAAATTCTGTCCGAAAGCTTTCTCTCAGCACAGCAACGCCTCGACCCACGAGAGAATCCATAAGGCAGAGAAACCCTATAAGTGTGACGTGTGCTCGAAAGCATTCACCCATCAAGGCAGCTTGAGGAATCACTCGAAGATCCATTCGGATGAGAAACCTTTTCAGTGCGAACTCTGTCCGAAAGCTTTCAAGTGGAGTAACTCATATAAATTGCATCTACGAGTTCATACTGGAGAGAAACCCTTTACATGCGGGGTCTGTTCCAAGTCTTTCGCTTCTGCATCCTACTTTAAAACGCACGAGGAAATTCACAGATGGGAATAATCCTTCCGTTGTAGTATTTATTTTTTTAAGAAAGTTTTTCTCAAAGTGAATAACTCGCGAGTGAAAAAATGTGATTTGGTGAAGAAGTCGATTTTCACTATAAAATTTTACCCTGTCATGAAGTATTTTAGACATTTAAAAGTACCGGGACTGGTTTCAGTATTTATAAGAAACGTCTGACATTTCCAAGGAGCCACTGTCAATTTTTTTTGCTGCTGTAACATTATAGCATAAGTAATGGTCTATAACAGTATACTAGGCAGTCTGTTCTCAATATTTGTCTTTAAACGATCAGTTGAAATGCAATTTCGTATACTTTGGGTACAAAGTTTTTGTTCCCGACCACAATTAACAGGACAGTCACTTTTTGAAGAGAGAACAATTATGCAAGGTGGTAGAAAAACTCTGGATTTTGAAGACTTGAACGTTTAAATGACAATAAAACTTGAATATAGGATAAAGAAAATAAGTTTTGTCTGATTTCAAAACTCTCAATGATCAACTAAAACTTTACAGCTCTCCCCTTCGAATTTGTGAATTATAACAACTAGTTTAGGATTCATTGGCACCTCGAAAAATCTACAGGTAGGTTTTAGGGAATCAATAGTTGGTAATCCTTATATAATAATAATAATAATGTCGCCTTTATTATTTTATAAACAAAACAAATAAACAGAACAAAAATAAAACTGTGATTGTTACATATAATGATATTATATTGTAAATAGGAATAAACACCTTACCTAAAGAGTTTAGTTTAACTATTCCTTACAAGATATCAATAATTTAATTTGATTTCAGTGGAACAAATAGTCTTTATAGTATATAGTATTGGTATTGATAATACAGGTAAGATTTGTTGTTTCAGATACCTGCCTATATCATAGTTTATTTAAGGACTTGTTTTGACAAAATGTATTAGTTTACTTGAGAACGGTTTAACAAACCAAAACCGGTCGTAATAAATGATAAACTTAGTGGAAATCAGACAAAATTTATTTTCTTCATCCTATATTTGATATGAATCTCTACAAAATAAATAGTTCATCAAATGAACAATAAAACTTGATACATTCAAGTCATTAGTAGTTTTTTTCTACTTCCTCCACCTTCTTTTTGAACCTTTTCTTGAAGTTGAAGGTTTCCGACGGCACGAAGTAATTCATACAAGAGAAAAACCTTTTCAGTGCAAAGTCTATCTGAAATCTTTCTCCGTCTGTTTTGTTCGAACACTCCGGAATCCACACAAAGGAGAAACCTTATAAAGCAACGTCTCCCAAGTCTTTTTCGCGTAGTTCTGACTTGATAATGCAATCTAAAAGTAATACAGGAGAAAAACCTTATGAATGTGAAATCTGTTCAAAATCTTTTTCCCCAGCTGGAACTTGAAATTACATTGCTCCAGACTTCATTTGGAAGGCAGGCCCTGCATACAAGAAAAGCTTTCAGTGTGAATTTTATTATAAAAGTTTCAACAGGCTTGTTAGCCTTCAGAGGCGTGAGAGAATACATAAGGGGGAGAAACCGTATAAGTGTCAAGTTTGTTCAAAATATTTCACTCAAAAGTCGGGCCTGGTGATGCGTTATAGAATCCATACGAGAGAAAAGCCTTTTCAGTGTAAAATCTGAAGCATGAGAGAACTTATGATGGAACATGAGATAGTCCGTAAAAGAAACTGGCTAGTTCTGTTTACAATTTTGTTCTGCCTCATCCTTGAAAATTTGAAAACTCTCGAGTTTCTTTTCAGTACTAAAGTCCTGTTTCATTCAAAAACTCTTGACAAAAGTTGGCCAATAATTAAAAATTTTTGTGATAGATAGATAATAGATGAAAAAAAGTTATAATAAGATGTTAATGATGATACCGTTCAAATACAGGGTGTTTCCCAACTTCGGTACGGAACTTCAGAGGGTGATTTGTTAGGTTGAAGTGTTAACTTCAACGCTCTGTCTCTTAGAAGCAAAACAACTCCGGTCATATGTTCATAACTTAAATTCGTCAAGTTGTGGCCGAGTTCTTGTGAGGGCCGCGAAATCGACTGCCTCGGATTCTCCTGTACCCTCTCACAGACAGCGGCGATGTTTTCGGCAGATCTTCCGTTTCGTCTACGTACGGGTGTTGGTCGATCACTAACTGAACCAGTGGACTCAAATTTATCCACCACATAAAGTTCTCTCGGTAGGACTATTATAGCAGTCGTAAAATGAGTGAAGCGCGCGGTACGTTGCCCGAACAGAACATCCATTATGATAAAACAATTTCATCATTTGCACATGTTGTTAAATACTATATCCGTTCATGGTAGATCCCTGTTGGGAGACCTTATGGATGGTTGAAATTTTAAGATATCTGACACACTGATGATATATTAACAAAGAGCTGAAGCATTCAATTGCATTTCTAAAGGAATAATGTTTAGGGACTAGCGGTGACGTCAACGTAACGTAAATAAATGAGAAAAGTTCATAACTTATTTAAGTTATATATGTTACTTTTTATTGAATATCTTAACACAACTTTTTCCAATTACTTTTGATGTACAGAGATGTGATTTGTACTTCATTTTAATTGTATGTATTAGTCAGATTTGCAGCAGATTCGTGTTATTTTTATTTATTTTTATTCAACTTACAAATTATATGCCTCAAAATATTTGTACATGATTTTGATTGTATTATTTGTATTTGTAACACTATGATATATGTATTATTGTGATTACAGATTTTTTAAAATGAAGTTTTTTTTTTCTATTTCTGTATAATTAGAAGTACACGCTATAATTATATCTGCTGTGTGTGACAGTACAATTACGTTAGTCCCTTCATTCAAGTTTTTCATTGACTTTCAAAGAAGTTATCGAGAGAAATCCATCAACAACTTTTTGTTCACAAAATTGAAACACTTCAAGAAAAGATTTAGAGATGCAGGCAATACAACTTATTTCTGTAGTTAGTTACTTAAATTTTTCAAAATATAAACTTGTGAAAGGGGAAATAATTCCCTTTTGAGATTAGTTTTGAAAGTAACTTTTGTAACGCGAACCTTGGCTATTCATTCGTGTTTGTATTATTATTTCTTTTGTATTTCTTATATGGATGATAATTATACATATTACTATAGGGGGACAGCTTTATGACAGCTTTAGCTACCAACCAAAAGGATCTAGATCCTCTGGGATCTATTTTTGTATCTGTATGCAAGGCCAAAAGTTTTCCTTTATTATTTTTCCTTCTTCTTTTTGGAAGTTTTCCAATTCTTCAGGTATCATTGTGGAAGTGATGAGCTAAAAAAGTTTTCCCAAATATTACAGGTGTTCCAATGTTTACGCATTTAATAGAATCTCCATTCGTTTCACCGGTGAACTTCTCAAGTCTAGCCTCGTTATTCTTTTTCAGATGATGGAACGAAGCGATACCAAGAAGGGGATAAAATATTTCGTTGCAATTACTGCCCGAAGTCTTTCATTAAGATTAAAACCTTTCAACGGCACGAGAAAATCCATACAAGCGAGAAACCGTTTCAGTGCCAAATTTGTTTGAAATCTTTTTTCGACGTTTATGCATTGATGGTACACTCTAGGATACATACCGGAGAGAAACCATATAAATGCGAAGTCTGTTCAAAGTCGTTTTCACGTAGTTTTGACTTATCGGTTCATTCACGAATTCATACAGGAGAGAAACCTCATAAATGTGAAGTCTGTTCGAGATCATTTTCTACCAGATCCACTTGGATAATACATTGCAGAATTCACACGGGAGAAAGACCTCACAAATGTGAAGTGTGTTCGAAATCTTTTACTTCCTCTACTGGGTTGCTTACTCATGCCAGACTCCACGCAGAAGAAAAGCCGTTTCAATGCGAATTCTGTTCAAAATCTTTCAAAGTTCTCAAGGGCCTTCGAAACCACGAGAGAGTGCATACAGGGGAAAAACCGTATACATGTAAAGTCTGTTCGAAATCATTTTCTACAAGGTCTGCTTTGGTAGTGCATTTCAGACTTCATACAGGTGAAAAACCGCATAAATGCCAAATCTGTTCGGAAAGTTTCTCCCACAATACGAGTTTGCTGGTGCACTCTAGAATGCATACAGGGGAAAAACCCTTTCAATGTAAAATCTGTTCGAAATCGTTTGTTGTTAGGACCAGATTGAACAGGCACGAGAAAATCCATAATCGCACATAAGAAAATCCAGAAGAAGAAAATAAATCGGTATTCTAATCGATATAATTTTTCAAATTATGTTTATTTTGCCACATTCATTTGCATTTCCAGTGTCACACATGCATCTAATCAACAAATATATGCCGTCACAACACATTGTGGATTTTTTTCTTTTATTTTATCAGAAGTAACTTCTATCTTTCATAGATGTTCATTATTTTAGAGTTTCGTTTTAATGTAGTGTAAACAGGTAAAAAGTTCAGTTGCTTAACGTAACTGAATAGCATTTGTCACTATAAATTTTGAAGGCATCGGTAATATAGATTGTTTAGATTTGTCATATAAATTATTGATCAGTGATTTAATTGAACCATAAATCTGAATCTGTTATTTGCAAACATTAGAAATTTACAATTTCCGAAACAACTGTGTTCTCCTGAATCATCTAATTTATTTTTATTTTATTTATCACAGAAATGATGCTGATACAAGAAAGGCAATGAAAATGTTTAAGCAAAAAAAATTTTTCTTCAAGTTTTTAGGAAAATATATGAACTGTTTCAGATTATTTATTTTTTCAGGCAATATATTAAAAACCTCTAAGCAATTAAAAACTTTTGTCACACACCAAAACCACACGGGTGCAATGCTGATACTAAATATACATATAAACGCGTGCGATCGCTGCTAATCATAAATTGCAACAACTATGTTCCTGCACTTTTAATCTGTAATATCTTCTAAAATATTCATTTGAATTATATGCTACAAAGGGCCATATTGATCTATATTAAATGCGCAAAGTATTCAAGGTACTAAAGTGGATAAGGATTATTTCTGTATTGCTTAAAATCGCTTCGTAAATAAGCCATTATTTCTCGTAAGAAGTAAAGGATAAAAAATGGTTATTGTGAGTTATCCCTTAAGACATGGAAATATACCATAGCGGACTTTTTTGTAAATCTTTTCAAGGTGTACAATACTGTATTACTTTTTTTATCAATCGCGAACGCTTCAGCCAGCGTTTGCATACATAAAAACCTTCCTCTTCCTCCGTTGTGGTTTTAAAGATCTAAGCATACATACGGACAGACAGCGGGAAATGACTTTGTTCCATACTATTTAGTGATCATAATCGGTACCTAACTTGAGTGGTTATTAGTGAAAGTGATCCCAGGTAAAATTTGTAAACTAATTACACTCTTAGTTATTGGACATTTACGTAAATTTTGAATATGAATACACTTCTTGATATTATGCAAAAAGTTTCAACATTGGTGAGTGGTCCACCTCCTGTTGGTCGTTCAAAAGGGTATCCGAACGTTAACCTTCATTTATTTCCAGCGACTCCAGCAGGTTCGACTAATCCATTGCGGATTGTCTTTGGTGGCCGCAACTAATGAGCATGGGTCCAACATCCTAGAAAAACACGTTACGTTAGTTAAATAATCGAAAATAAAAAGATAATCGTTATATAAAATTTTAGAATCAAAATAATACTCACCGAAATATTATGACCCATATTTCCGTAGGTAGGGTAACCAAGTGGCAGCAGGAAGCGGCAATAACAGGAAGCAAATTAAACATCTTGAGCACGTCACGAAACAAATTGGAACTAATAACTGATTGATGAGTTCCAAAGCTTTTATATGTAAACATTGTTCACTGAAGCGTATATCCCCTCCCCCTCGTTAATTATAGTACCATAATACTTTCACTCCACTCTCGCGAACATTTTCGCTAATCCAATAAATGCATTCAGGTAAGAATTTTGTTTCTGCAAACTGAATATTCTTAAACATAGTTTACACTTTTTTCAAAAACCTGTCGAAATTTCATGTCGATATTTCATGTCGTTATTCAAATTCCATTCAAAGTTGAGTTTTCCTCGAGAGTTCGACGGTCGTTGACCATAC